GAGAGAGAGAGAGAGAGAGAGAGAGAGAGAGAGAGAGAGAGAGATCGGAAGGGAAATATGCGCCACGTGGAACCAAGACATTGAAAAAACAATTCGGTTGCATTGAAAACGGGATACGAATGTACTACACCTGGTTGAAGTTCTTCTTGTCCCTCTTCTTCTTCTTCTTCCCCTCCTTCTCTGCAGCCTCCTTGGCAGCCTTCAACGCCGCCGCGCCGTGGTTGGCTCCGCCGCCCGCGGAAGACTTCTTTTTTCCCTGAGAAGCGCGGCGGGGGTGAACAACAAAGGCGACCAACCAACCAGCGTCAAGTGTTACTGAAGGAGTTTGGAGGCGGCCGTGCGATCGTCCTCTACCATGGGCTATTGTGTGAACTTCCCCAGAGTAGGCGGCAGAGGTGAACAACGAAGCCAAATCCACCCACCAGCGTCAAGTGCTGTGGAATTCGGAGCCAGCCGGTGATGGTGCATTACGGCGCGATGGTGCACTACCATGAATATGGTGTAAATTCTCGCTGAGAAGGCTACGGAGGTGCACCACGAACACGATCGACCAACCAGCGTTAGGTGTTATTGAAGATTTTGGAGGCGGCCGTGTGCTGGTGCGCTATCACGCGATGGTGCACTACCATGCTTACTTCTTTAATGTTCGCCGAGCATCGGCGGGGAGTGATTAGCGAGCCGAGTCACCAAACAGCGCGAAGAGTGGCCCAGGTGCACGCGCCGCATTGAACACAATTTAATGCACACCTGGGACAGCACAGCAGTCGCGCAAAGAAAGGGCGCCACAAGACACAGTACAGCACCGCCAGCGCACGCAGCGCAGAACACAGCAGAAAGGCCGTGTTATAGCGGAACACACGATTAGCATACACACCTTTTTCTTCAACGCTGCTGTGATGGGCTGGATCACCACCACCGGTGGCTCGTCCCCTCGTCCCTGCACAAAAAAAAAAGAACAGGTTTCGATGCGTCAACCTCTGACATGTCGCCGCCGTGTTTCGAGCAAGATGTAACGGTACAAAAAAGAAAACCTGCAACAACGAAAAAACGAGAAAATGGATTTTGCAAAGAAGCAAAAGACACCTCACAATTCTTGGAACGTTCCGAGAACGGCATCGGACAGCAGCGTACAGGTGCACAGCGGTAAAATGCCAACAACAGTAACAACGCGACATGGCCTTGCCCCGCAATTCCGTTCGCAAAGGCGAAAGCCAAACACACACATGCCTCAGGGGGAGGGACCCCTTCGTGTGACCACGGGTTCGAGCACGCGACACGAGTGCTATTTATGCACTGATTTGAAGCGACTACAAGAAAAAAAAAAATCCAGCACCCCACTTTGTCGCCAGCGGCCAAGGCACCCCCGTCCCCCTCGCCTCCCCCAGCCGCCCTCGTCTTCTTGTCGGGGGCAGCGGCGCCTTTCTTCTTCTTCTTCTTCTTCTTCCCCCCCGCCCCTTCCCCTCCCTCCCCCGCCACCCCTGCTGCTGCTGCTGCTTCATCAGCCCCCGCGCCCCCCCCCCCCCC